AAAAAAAAATAGCACATTAAGCGGACAGTAACATGGAATTATGGAAAAGGGTCAAAGATGGTTTGAATGGAACATTGCACTCTGAATGGTTAAAAAAGATCTGTTTACTGCATTAAAGAGAAACACTTACATCACGAGAATCCACTGCTGCGTACATGATGTCCATCCATCCTTTAAATGTGGCCTTGTGGAAAAGAACAAAATCAATATATATTGTGAATATGCTACAAATAGAAAACCTCATACTAAACAAAAAATAAATCACGGTCGGGCTATGCGTTCAGCATACTCACCACTTGCAGTAGCGCCAGGTATCCGGCTCCCACATTATCAAAATTAATCTTCACGTTTTTCCAGCGCGCTGTGTCATTGTTTGCAATCAGGGCAAAGCAATCTGACTTGTTATTGACCACACTGATTAGAAACATCTCATTGCTGGTGATATTAACACAATGGTAGTATTTCCCTGCGAAAAGGTTCACCCCCATGATGCTGAAGATCAGCCAGAAGATCAAACACACAAGCAGCACATTCATGATGGAAGGTATGGCTCCCAGCAGGGCATTCACTACAACCTAGAAGAAAAGAAATACATCGTCACACACAAATACCTCCGTATATATTCACTTCACACTCTTGTTACGGATACAAGAGCTGCGAAACTGCAATGAACTTCCTGAGCTTCTATAGTGGATGGCTTACTTGCTGGTAAAAACTAAATCCTTTCCATAGATTTAAGATAATACAATTCTGGGAAATGACTAGATGACTTTTAGAAAGTTAGCAAGGTTTTAAGAATAGCAAAGCTAAGTAAATTGTATCCTACAATAAGACTGATTAGCTAAAAAAACGGAGTAGGCCTATTTGAAGAATGGCTAATGTGTCATCTGCCTTATTTGCTCTATAATTAATAGCTAAATATCTCTAATTATAAACCAACTGCAATTTTGTTCATAGAACATAGGACTTTAACATATAAACAGGGGCGTAACACACATATCTTTGAGCTACCAAAATGTGGGGAGAAAAAAATGAAAACAGAAAAAAACCTTGTGGAGACACGATGACGTCACAACATTTGTTTACTGCAAATGAAAAGAGACACATAACAGAGAAAGAAATGTGAGGTCAAGTCACAAACACCACAAAACCACCACAGAATCATTAGAATAGATCAGAGAGCTCTCACCACAGCACATGCAGAGAGCCATGCACACTAAAGAGAAAGGTCTAAAAATACTACAGTCTACATTCAATATTCATTTATTCATGTGATTAGGATGTTCTCATTAATAATCACCAACAGCAAGCAAGAGGACTACAGCTCAAAAAATTAAACAGTGTGAGAGTATGCTGTTTTTCTCAAGTAGGACATGTTCCAGGATCAACTTCATTGGTCAGCACTGGGATGAACTGATCAGATTTTAAGGTTAGGTCTGATGTTAGAGAAATAGTTCACCCAAAATTTAAATTAGCTGAAAATCTATTTACCTTTAGCCATCCAAGATGTAGATGAGTTTGTTTTTCATCTGAACAGATATGGAGAAATGTAGCATTACATC